GGGGGGGGGGAGAGAGGATGCTATGAATTAATTTTGTCCCAAGAATACAGTTCCCACAATTCCCTCCTCTGGGATGAAACAGCCGCCAGGGAATGCAGAGAAAGGGCTTAAATAGCAAGTTATGCACTGCACAAAGCTACTGCAAAGGAGAATTACAGTGGACATTCAACTTTCCTGTGCCTATCTTCAATCAAGGAGCAAACAATTGCACGAAAAGTGTTTGTTTGTTTTTAATCAGACGAGTGTCACACAAATTAACCCCCTCCCTACTCTTCTTCTGGAGCTGCGGTGGCTCAAGTGGTTAAGACGCTGAACTGCAGGCTGTGGAAGGTCGGTAGTTCAGCAGTTCAAGCCCCGAGTGTGCTGCATGACGGAGTGAGCTCCCATCTCTAGTTCCAGCTCCTGCCAACCTAGCAGTTCGAAAGCAAGAAATTGCAAGTAGATCAATAGGTCCCACTTCGGTGGGAAGGTAACAGCGTTCCGTGCGCCTTGGTGTGTAGTCATGCCGGTCACATGACCACGGAAACGTCTTCGGACAGCGCTGGCTCCTCGGCTTTGAAACGGAGATGAGCACCGCAACCCTAGAGTCGGACTCGACTGGCTTTCGAGCAAGGGAACTTTTACCTTTACCTATTCTTCTTGCATTTGTCACACGATGCGCATCTGTCCCTAAGCCTTCTGTGCCATCCACAGTCTTACCTGCAGATCTAGATCTTCCTGATTCTCTTTCCTTGCTGGAGGATCTTGTATGCTGCGCACCAAAATTCTGAGGTCTCCATGGAGACCTTGACCTGTGTCTGGGACTAGGAAGGCGCCTTGGACTTCGACTTCTTGGCCGACCACGATATCCAGGGCTTCTGGATCGTGATCGATGCCTGGCATGGCCAGAGCTTGAGAATCTCGACCGTTTCGGGCTAGGACTGGCAGAATGTCTCCTTGGTGCATGAGTATCCTGTCTGTCACGTCCACGCCTGTGAAACAGAGGTGAGAGAAGCCTAAATTATTCCCAGATTTCTTAATATGACAAATACCAGCCTTAAACTGACATAAGAGTTCTCTTTCAGTTAAAATAAAGTTAGTTGCTCACACAAACTATGAAAAGTGGGTGGGTGGGAATCAATGCTCCCTCTAAGCTGTGGAGTCTTGTGAGCAAAAATTCTACTTTGTGAGCTACTAGAATTAAAGCTGTGAGTGAGCGATTTGGCTACTGCATAAATTAGTTTGCTCTGGAGCCCCAACCTTCCTGAATTAAGACAAAAATCTGTGAGCTGGAGGCTAAAAAACTGTGAGCTAGCTCACACTAACTCAGCTTAGAGGGAACACTGGTGGGAATAGATGAACTGAAAATACTGGACTTCAATATTTCATTCCTTAAATTTTCAAAGGAATACACACAACCACTAAATAAATTATTGGCCCCCAGGAATTCTACCTGAAGCATTATCAAAATGGGCCTCACACTCAACCTCCCCAGCTCCTTTCACTACAATTAAAGAATACACTGCAGAATGGGAATCCTGCTTATCCCACATGGTGTGGTGTGAACAGATATGTCTGAGAAGGAGAGAGAGGTGTGCAGATGACCCTGACATAACTTTTTAAAGAGGGAATCAGACATACACAGACACTCTTAATAGTGAAGTGACTGGATCACAAAGGAGAGAAAATCTCTGCATACCAGGGTGAGCCCCCAGATATGCAGAACAATACTAGTTTCCCCCTTGACTCACATAGTGAGGAGGGGGGAAAACAGGGCTAAAGACCTTATCTGTGCAGTGTGAAATGCTGCCAAAGGAAATAAACAGTGTTAAGAAAGCATGGGAACAAGCCTGCCTAGAAGGGGGTTTCTACTTGGCTAGCTTACGCCAAGCCCTACCCTGGATCGCCCAGGCCAACCAGGTCTCGCCAGATCTCAGAAGCCAAGCAGAGCCAGCCCTGGTTAGTACTTGGATGGGAGACCACCAAGGATTTCAGGGTCGTTCGCAGAAACAGGCAATGGCAAACCACCTCTGAACGTCGCTTGCCTTGAAAACCCTACACGGTCACCGTAAGTTGGTTGCGACTTGACAGCAGGCAATAAAAAGCTCGTGCCATTGAGCTAGAGCAAGGATCAGTTCATTGACACAGTCGATACTGCTCATCACCTGCTACTAAGGAGCTAAAGTAAAGTTTCTAGAAATTTTGAAGACATGGGAAAAGTCTATTTTTCTCTTGTTTTCTCAGAACAAAGGAAACAATTGGAAAACTTGAAATATATACAATACTTACTTTTCTATCATACCTAAACTTCTTTTATAATCTACAGGACATTATTATTGCCTCAGCAATCATTGTAGCAAGGCACTGCAACCTTCCAGGTCTGCCCTCCCCCTTCCACGCCACAAACTTTGGAGGGCAAGTGGGAATTCCACAATGTGCCCCTGCCTATGGACCACCAGCGTGTTATAAAGGGAAAAGGAAGAAGGGCAGATGATTCTGAAAGGCACTTAAGTGAATGCTACCATACCAATAATTATGACAGCATAATCCCTGCAAAGCCGTCAGTGGGGCACCCTGCAGTATATGTATTCACGCTGGTGCTGTTCGCGGTGCATAAGGGTAACTTAAGTGCCAAACAGGCTGCAAAACCATATTTTCACATAGGTGATGCTAGGCAACTGTGACAGATGGCATTCAACGGGGGAGCCACAGAAGACACTTGCTGTGGATTCAGTGCAGTGGCCAGGCCTCCGAGAACCAATGTGCTGCAAGGCATTAGCTGCCATTCCCAGACACAGGTCGAAATACATGCTCAGTACTTTCTTTAGCACAGAAGCATGCACTGATTCACTATAATGTATAAATAAGAAGGGGGAAGACTACTGCACAACAATTAATATCAAACAAAAGTAACTATAACAGAACATAATTGGGAAGTTACCTTTTTGATGAAGAGTGAGACTCAGGATTCCAGTCTGGGTACCTGTTTTGACAATAAAAGTGTCCATGAAAGAAGATGGTTATCTACATTACTATTTTAACATTAAGTATACTGTTATAAATGATAGCTGAGAACCATTGCCTTTCCCTTCATACATCTTTCAAGTACCAAGTAGGGAGGGGGCTGTGACTCCGTGGCAGAGCCTCTGCTTTGCATACAAAAGGTCCTAGGTTCAGTCCCCAGCAGCATCTCCAGTTAAAAGGACCAGGCAGCAGGGGATGTGAAAGACCCCAGTCTGAGACCCTGGAGAGCTGCTGCCAGTCCAAGGGTCTGATTCAGTATAAGGCGGCTTCATGGGTACCACCATCCAACTGGTTTTCAGTGTTAAGCCAAACACATCCAAGGAAGACTGACCCCCCCCCCCAGATAAAAAATTAAAGGGGGCAAGCAATACGCATCACCCCACTTCAACCGAAAACCCAGTTTACTGTTAGCTCGCCTTAATGTCTCTAGCATATTTGATACTCCCTCATAGAAAGGCCTCTCCCCTTCCTCAAATTTGCCCTATCCTTGGTACACCATAGAGCCTCAAGCCATTTGCCAGGGAGCATTCAGGTCCCCTTCTCTGGCTAATCTTCCTAACACTCCATGATGAAATGACACTTCATCCAAGTATCAGTTAAGAATTTTCCACTCTGCTTTGTAAACGCTGAGTTTGAGCTCTGTGAATGCTCAGAGATTAAACCCAAACTACCTTTACATGTATCTGCAGCTAGCTCCCCCCATCCCAGCAATGCCTTCTAAATTCTAAGCAGCAGAGTCTGGTGGCTCTAAATTCATTAGTATGCTAAAGAAGGCAATCCCAAAAGACAGGGTGAACACAGGTGACAAAATGCTTCTAGCCTTTTTGTCTCGCCCTCCATTACAGGGGAGTAGTTGGGGTGGCTCGTAGATAGAAAAAGTACTCCCTGGAGGGAAGCAGCCATGTTTAGAGAGGCAAGCCTTTCTGATGTAATACAGACATTCTAGGGACCCCTGAGAGACACACATCAGCACAGGATCTGAAGAGAGTTGACCAACCAGATAGAGGAAGCAGCTAAACTCGAGATCAACAGGGCCTGACTATTGGAACCATTCAGATATTTCTGCCTATCACTTTAACATCATAGGGATAAGCTACAGACCTAGTGAAAGAGGATGTGTGTCAATGCTCTCTCTAAGCTATGGGGTCCTGTGAGCAAAAATTCTACTTTATGAGCTACTGACATTAAAGTTGTGAGCAGGTGATTTGGCTACTGCATAAATTAGCTTGCTCTGGAGCCATCCTTCCTGAGCTAAGACAAAAATGTGTGAGCGAGGCTAAAAAACTATGAGCTAGCTCACACTAACTCAGCTTAGAGGGAACATTGATGTGTGTATACCTATTTCATTTCCCCATACTCCATTGCTTGTAGCCTTTCACTTTTCATTCGTATGCTCTGACTTGTCTTCACTTATTGCTTACACCCATAAAGATAATTCCTTTTTGAAATTTGCAAGCATGGAGAAAGCCTCCTGCTCTGGCTCATGTTTATCAAAGACAGGGAGAAGCAGGGAGTGTTAAAAATACTTCCAACCAGTGAGATTCCAAAAATTTCCCCTACCTCCAACCCTGTCTGAAAAGGATGAGATTCTGATTTTTCTAGAGGGTCTGACCGCCGGCTGTCAAGCTGAAATTCTACTAATGGCCTGCTGGTGGCAGTGGAGAGTAAAGGAGGGGTGAGTGGGATAAAACTGGATGGTTGAGTTCCTCACTGGGGTCTAGCTACTTGAGACCTGTGCCAGCTGTATGAATACCACATTCCCCACGATAAAGACAAGATCCTGCAGAGTCAAATTAACCCAAAGCTCTTCTGATCATTTGGACAGCATCATGGATTACAGAGCACTTGAAGATGACTTCTAATATTCTGCCTGAGAGCAATCACCGTCCCTTAAAAGGACAGCTCTAACAACCTTGTCTCAGATAAGCTGCAAGACATGTAGAAGCTTTAACACACACAAAAAAACCCCAGAAAACCAAAAAGGTTTAGATTAGAACTACAATCCACATTCCATTGAACTCAAACAGTTCAGATACTTAAAATGCAGGCCAATAAATGACCACATGAAGTATGAGAACAAGACACAGCACCACTACAGCACACAAATTAAATGAAGGTCCTTACTGCTGGCGGAGCTGACGACAGCTTTCAATATGGGTAGCAACATTCTGATGCTCAATCCAGTCCTACAAGAGAAAGACACAGCCACAAATCATGGACTAGACCAGCGTTTCCCAACCTGGAGGTCCTGGCTCAAAAGTGGGTTGCAAAGCTGGTGAAAGTGGCCCCCAGGCTTCTGCAGTTCTATTGATTCAGCATGTTCTGGTTTTTTGTGGTTCACCATACCAAGTAAATTTGGACTTGTGGGACGCCACACCAAAAACGTTGGTATGAATTAAACTATATTCACCCAGGAGGCCAAAATTCAAAAAGCAGACCCCTGCTTTAGTCCTGGAAAACAGTAACACAGTAGACTAGTTTCACTTTAGGCGCCTTCAACAAATGACAAGTCCTAGGTGGCTCAGAGGTTAAAACGCTGAGCTGCAGACCGGAAGGTCGGTAGTTCGAGACCCCAGTGCCGCGTGACCGAGTGAGCTCCCGTCTCTGGTTCCAGCTCCTGCCAACCTGGCAGTTTGAAAGCAAGAAATTGCAAGTAGATAGATAGGTACCGCTTCGGTGGGAAGGTAACAGCATTCCATGTGCCTTGGCATTTAGTCATGCCGGCTACATTACCACGGAAACGTCTTCAGACAGCGCTGGCTCTTCTCCATTGGAAATGGAGATGAGCAACACCCCCAAGAGTTGGATTTGACTGGCTTTCAAGCAAGGGAAACCTTTACCTTTCCATTAATTCAGGCCAGTCCAATTCAGTGCTTGGAACAACAGAGCATTCATACGCTCAGTTATATAAAGTCTCCAGGTTCGTACACATGTTGGCAGAAACACCACAACCAGTGCAGAGCATTACTGAACAAATACCACTGTCACAGTGTTTCTCCCTGGACAGAAAGGCCAATACAGAGCTCCTCTGGCTGTCTGCCCAGGAATAAGAGATTCCATACCAGCCCAGGGCTGCAGAAAATCATGAGGCAATAGCAGCGGGGAGGTGATGGAGATGCAAGTGCAAGGAGAGCCACAGACATGTTGCAAACTGTACCGTTCCATAGCTTCAGAATAAAAAACTGAGAAAGTTACAAAAATAAGCCAGGTATTTGTAAAAAAAAAAAGTCACATAACCATAACATAAGATCTAAAAGGCTAATTAACAATATATTGGGCTGCTAAGAGCATGTTGCATTGGTCCACTGACTTCCTTCAGCTTTTGTATAACGTCATCAAAAGACTGTGCTACCTCGTTCTCTGCTGTATGGTGACCATAACAAGAACAAAACATACTTTGCCAACAATGCCATGTGGGAACCTATTCACATGGCAATGGCATGGAAAAAAGCATTATTTCGAGCATCTCCAAAATGGCAGGACGCACTTTTCTAATAAATGTTTTAAATAATAAATTTTCTGAAGTTATCAAAACCCAAGTATTCTTCACAAAATCCAAGTATTCTTCACATTATTCTAACAAACATGAAAAAAAATCTGGACGTGATGGATACACTTAAAATGGACAGATGCTATTTTGCTACAAAGATGCCTATCCCCAAACAATCTTAATAGTAAAGGACCTCAAGTTTAAAGGCTGCTAAAAATTAAACGCAATGTGTGATTTCTTTTCCTGGGCTTCATTGTCCTGAGAAACAGCGTGGATCATTTAATATGTGAACTACAAAGCTCCAAACTGTCATAGTCATCACACTGATCAATAAGTACAATTTATATTGTTCGTTTAAAATCTGAGGCTCCACCTAGAATTAGAAAGAGGTCAGAATGTAAGGAACCCTAAGGTAAGTAGCAGAACTTTCTAGGAGAACAGGTATGGTACAGAAAAATGAGGTATTCTGTAAGAACTGAGCAATCTTGTAAGAATGAAAGTATAAACTTCAGATATTTCACAATGCATTTAATCTTCCGGTTATTGTGATTACGCAAAGGTGTATCCACAATACACTTCTGAGAAATATTCAGAGGAAAATGTAAAAAAATAACACAAATGCACAAGTCTTGATAATGTCACTCATGCCAGATCTATTTTGAAAATATTTCTGAGACAAAAATACACAATGAAGTTTGGAAATAAGAATCCTACTAATATAGCAAGTATCTTGACTTGCCTAAGATCTGATTTCCCCTTCTCAAAAGGATTTCTGACACTACAATTCTGCTTTCCACGTGGGCCTCCATCAAGAATCCTCACAAATCATAGTGCTGGAAACATACTTTGCTTTTGTTCTCTTGGCTTGAAGATGGTACAGCCTTGTGCCAACCTCTGTCTGTATTAAGTGGTTTGTGGCACTCGTGGCACAGAGTAGAGCCTGCACAAGGTATAGGTAGCCACAACTGCGCAGATTCTCACATTTCCAATGAATGCTGCTATGGCCCTACAGAAGCAGCCAGTCATAACCAAAGAATGTTGCCCAAACAAGTTTCTCTCTATGGCTTGATTCTTCATATCTTAGTGCAGGGGTCCCCAATATGATGCCCCTGGGTGCCATGCTGACACCTTTCCCAGTGCCCACCATGTGTCTTGAGAAAGTGGGGGGGGGGCCCGGGGGGGCTTTGCTCAGTTGACCAGTGGAGCTCTGATTGGCTGTGCAGATTTTTTAAAATGTTGCTCCGGCAGCAGCTGCCATCACAGCACAAGCATCTTGACTATGAGACTGAAGGTCAGCTCTCACAACCACTCTACTGCTGGCGCTGCCTCCTCTGGCAGCCATTTTGTAACTGTGCCTCACCACGCTGTGTCAGAAATCCAAAGGTGCCCGTAGGCTCTAAAAGGCTGGGGACCCTTGTCTTAAGAGGGATCAACGCTAAACATTTTCCACGAGCCATTTAAATCCCAATGACAGCGTGGAGAACATGTGCAGTGTACGTGTCCTGGGGGGCGGGGCGGGGGAGAGGAAACAGGAAAAAAAATCAACTCACCTTCAAGTGTCTACATTCTACATTACACAGAGAACACATATGTGGAAATATTCTTGGAGATGCAGCGTAGTAATCGTTCATCATGGAGGGAGTAGGTAGTCTCTTCAACTTCTGTGCGTCGGCCTGTGAAAAAGCTGGAAGCCACGTGGCTTTCACCACGCCAAAAGGGGACTCTATAGGACCTTCAGGCGTTTTCTGGAAATTCTTCTGGCCACCTGTCGGTCGAGCGGGGGCATTAGGAGGCTTAGCCCTAGGTTCATGCTGAATCCTGTCATGCCTGTTGACGGTCCCAAGCATTTCAGGAACAAAATGGGGCGGCGGCTGGTTCATAGGAGGCATCATGGGGGGTGGAGGCAAGTGCTGCGGGACAGGAGGCATCATGGGCGGAGGCATCATAGGCGGCATCATGGGTGGGGCTGGTGGGGCTGTCACAGGTGCCACAGGTCCTGCTGGAGGCAGACATAATCCAGGCATTTTGTTGGCAGCATCCATGACAAAAAAGTTCTGGGGAGGCGGCGTACTTTTCTGAAACCCCATTCTCTGAATTAGTTCTTCAACAATGTTGATTGGATTACTGGCTACAGCAGATGGTGCAGTAGGCACAGGAACGGTCTGCTGAGCCTGAAACCCTTTCATGGTCTCTGCAGTTGCCACACCAGCATCGTACACTTTGACGTCAAGGGGGCCATCAGAATATCCATACTTGCTTTCGTGCCCATAATCAATCACTTTGCTCTTTACCATGGAACCACAGCCTTCGTCACTGCGAAAGGTTTCCTTTTCCCTGCTCTGGGAGGGTAAACTAGGAAACTGGCGAGCCATCTTGCGCATTCGGATATCCCGCAAGATTAAAGGCATGTTTTCAGGTGTGAGTTGATCATCTGGATAGCGACTAAGTTCCTCCAAGTCTTCATTAGATAAGCCAAAGCTTGCCAAGATGCTCGAGGCACTCTCGTTTGTGTAACGGCCTGGGACATTTGTGTTGTGTTGTGGAGCAGGCTGGCCCTGGCTACTATTCCCATGGGCAAATGGGTTATTATCCCAGCGTGTGTTGCGGCCATCTTCCTTCTGCTGGTTTCTCCGCTCCCTTGCTTGTCTTGGATCCGTTCTATGTTGAGTGACCTGGACATCTGGCCTCGGAAATCCTGCCCCTGCTTCTCTTCCCATGAATTGCTGGGGCCCTCCAAGACGTGGGCCAGGTGGGGGCTGTCCTAGAATACTAGTTTGTCTTGGCCCCCGAAAAGGCTCATGTGGGGCTGTGTCAGATGCATTAGGTCCCCTTGGTCGCTGATGCATGTTTCCTCTAGGATTAAACATGGCGGTCTTCAGGAATGCCTCGTTTAACAAGGCATAAGTCACTACAGAATTATGTGAGGCAACAGAGTTCAACTGGTGAAGAGCCAACTGTGTCTTAATCTGAGCAAGCTGTAAAGGGCCCAACAGAAGTGGGCTGGCAATGCCAAGATTCAGAGAATTCACAAGGGGTGTAAAACTTTCCAAGAACACCACAAAGCTGAAAGTTAAAACACAAATATTAGATTACATTTGTCTTTGAATTCAATTTTTACAGCAGACTCTGCCAGTAAGGAAGTTGTTTTGGGGAAAGCTCACGAACTTTCTTGTTCAATTAACTATTTTTAGCAAAAGGCTTAATTTATTGTCCACTCCAAAAAATCATATAAAACAAGCTTAACTGACATAATTAGGCACTGTTGGTTTTTACTCTGAACAGGCACCCACGTTTTCATGATCTGATCAACATCAACAGCAAAGTTACTGTGATTTTATTCCATTATGCCTAAATATCAGGAGCAATTTATTGACAAGGCCATTAGGAAAGCACAGATCCTAGTACAAGAGTATATATGTAGTTCACCTAAGGTACATTTTTGATACAGCAAGTTACAGCAGTATTATTCCTGCAATCTGCTATATGAGCAAAACTAGGGGACATTTGGCCATTTACTGGAAAAAAGGGTTATGCGACATTTTCAGATAAATTGCTTCCACCATTTCAAACAGAAGGTAATTAAAAATAAACCAGAACAGATGTGCAGGAAAGATCACGGCAGCATAGCAAAAGTCCATTAACAGACTACCTAACTTAGCCTGTCCTCCTTCTTTGTTACAGGCCCCACATTACATAAGTTATCCTGCCACAACAGTTCTTCATAATTGGCTATGCAAGTCATACACACACATCAGTACCTCTGGAAAACCTTGATGTCTAATCTATGTTTCTGTTCATAGCCTTTTATTGCAATGTGTTTTTTCACTGTAGTGCAATGTGTTAAGTCAATCTAAGGACTCCCCGACCCAATCCTGCAGTGAGGATTGCAGAGTTTCTACTAATGCTACTCAGAGAGCTATGTATGTCTATAAATTATACGCACAGAAGGTTTGCATAAACAGAGATGTGCAAGTCAATGGAGGTGGATATATTCGCAGGGACAAATTGTGAGACGAGTTCTTCCCCTAGTAGCTGTGACTACTGTACTGAAGGGGATGGGAAGGCAATGGATGCATTACCTCCATGTTCCCCAGCTGGAATAACCCAGTACCATGCTGTGGTAGCTCCAGCTGCACCCATTGACAGAGAGGGAGAAGCAACACCAGACATGCGTACTTGCTACACTGCTCTTTGGTCTCACTCCATTTTTGGGCAAGTGCCCACGTGCATGTCCAGAACAGTGGTTGTTTATTCTTGCCTTTCTGCTCTCTCTTTCTGCCAAAAGATCACAGTCACACAGCACTTGTATTATTGCACAGCTTCCCAGATTTCAGGATAGCTCTGCAAACAAAGAGAAGTCCTCGCTACGCAACCACACCATGGAACCATTAACTGTGCAGCAGAAATTAGCAGTTTTGCAGAAGAAAAAGCAGAAGATTTTTCACTTGTTTCCCCCCCCCAGTTTTTTTAAAGACATAACAAAACTGGAGCAGAAGTTATTTATGGTTGAATTTCTGTAATTTTAATAAATGTCAACACAAGCCGCACTTAAAGTGTAACAGGAAAGATGAAAAAAAGCAAACAACACTGTTCTTCATGGACAAACATTTATTAATAAAAATACAAATCCAAGACTAGCAGTCTATCATGAACCTCAAAATGGCAAGTGCCTATAAATGCCAAACCTTTACCACTTCCTGGAAAGTTCTATTAGCTTTCAAAAATGGAATATGTAAACCAGAGGATTCATCAATTTACACTGACGACAGACATGACAGAAATCCAGTAGTGTGGCAAGAGACCCTTACATCGCCCATCAGTTCAATGCTTACTACCACACAGCTCTCAAATCAGTAAGCAGATGTACACTCACCTGCATGCTTTCCAACAGTAGTTTACTCCACAGCAGCACAGTATTTTAATTCTCTACTCCTCTGCACTGTCAACTCAATGGGGACTTCCACTGATCTGGCAGTGAGGATAGTAGAGCAGTGATTATTTCACTACTGAAGGGCACAGGACAGGACATAACACAACACATCCAGGAAAGCTGCATCTGAAAAGCACAGCTTCAAAATGGAGTTAGAACTTTCACTCCAAACTAACTATTCAGCTCCATGTTCCATGCCCACATCTAGGCACACTTAAGTTTCTCGTAAGGTCTAGTTTACCTATGTAGGAGAAAGAGAGATGCGGTAGGATGGACTGCAATGCTGAAGGTGGTAGACTGCTGTTCCGAATGCTCCTTTGCATTAAAAACTAAAAGAAAACCAGAACAGGTGTAGTGATGTGAAACTTCTGGAAATTTTGAAGCCATTGGGGGGGTTCCCCCCCAATTGTTCAAGAAAAAATGGAAATTTGGGAGAAAACTGAAATATATGCAAACCTAATCTAATTTTATTGCTTTAACAATATAGAATGTATCATTCATAAATTACTGTGCATATAAAATTACATGTCACATATCGATGACCTTTTAAACGTTATAAATGCCTTAGTTTTTTATCAGCAAAACTCCAAATATACCCAACGCTTGAGAGAAAACTGCTAGCTGATGCACTCTATGCTAACCGAGCACCATATATGCTTTCATTTTTGCTATCTGGTTCAAGAGAGTTCAGTTGCCAATGAAGCTGTCACCGTTTTCCTCTGAGGCTTTGTTGCAGTTTCTGCCCTACCTCCTGAGTTTTCCCTTCCAACAAGGCATGGCAATAAGCTACTTATTACCCTACCTATGTCACAGTGGTTTGAGAAAAGGTGAAAAGATCACCCGCGAGGCCAACCACGTCAAGTCAAAACAACAACAAAAGGTATGCAGCAGTTGAAAAGCAATGAAAGCCTTGCATGCTCCCCCTTGGAAGGCTAGGCATCCTTCTAGGTGCAGAAACGCATCTTGGATTTAAGAGGCTGTATATGTCTACAACATGCCTACCCTGTCTTTGAAAGCATTTAATTCATCCAAAAAAGAAAATATTTCACCAGAGGGGTTTTTTCGGTACTCCCCAAATTTTCAGATTGTCCACTGAAAAAGCTGGAAAAGGGCCTGGGGTGGGGGGAGTTGTTCCAATTTCCCCTGGTTTTTCCCCCCAGGCCTCCACATCTCTAAAAAGATGTAATGCTTACACACACACACATGTTGTGGTGGTATTCTACATGAAGGGAGTTTTCAGTGTATTAAATATTTCAACATGCAATCCTCCAGTGTAGTGCAATCCTTTATAATAGCATTTTATTACTGTTATTATCAGAGGTCATTTCGGGGGGGATCGCAGGGGATCGCAGTTCCCCCGGGTGAGGAACAGGGGGCGGGGCACATGATGAAGCCCCGCCCCCTACTTCCGGCCACCCCTTCACTTGGAGTCTCAGAGCGGCTTACAAACTCCTTTCCCTTCCCCTCCCCACAACAGACACCCTGTGAGGTGGGTGGGGCTGAGAGAACTCTGACACAAACTGCTCTTTTTCAAGGACAGCTGTGCCAGAGCTTGTGACTGACCCAAGGTCACATCAGCAGGTGCAAGTAGAGGAGTGGGGAATCAAACCCGGTTCTCCCAGATTAGAGTCTGCACACTTAACCACTACACCAAACTGTTCAACCAGGAGGAGGCAGGAGAAGAGGGAGGGTAAGTTGCTTCCTCCCTGCCTCTCCCCACCTCTGCCTGCCTGGGGCCAGAGAGGGCCTTCACGGGGCTTCCTTGCACTCCCGCCGGCCTTGCAGGTCCACCGCCGGGCCCCTCATGCGGCTCGGCAGTGGAGCTGCAAGGCCGTCGCCGCCGGCCGGGACCATTGGGGGCGGGGTGTGTGACCTTATGACACACTTTCGGTGATGTCAGGGGGTGTGGCCTTATGACACACTCCCGGTGATGTCAGGGTGTGTGGCATATGCTAATGAGTTATGCTAATGAGTTCCCCTAGCTCTTTTTCTACGAAACGACCCCTGGTTATTATTATTTATCACATTTCTGGGTCACTCAATCCCTTACTCTGGGCAATTTACAACAGGTTAAAAACAGTACAAAATTACAGATTAAAATCAACAAAAATTTTACATCAGCCTGACCTCATTCTTTTCCATAGGCAAATGAATCCTAAAATAAACCATGGGGGGGGGGGACACCGAATTCAGGAGGGTTGCATGTCGAAAGTAAAATACCAAGTATAACTATGAGCTAATCTTGGTTTTGAACATTTGAGCAGTGACAATTAAGCCAATATTTTCTAAAGTTACAAAACTGCTAATCATAAACTGTTGTCTAGCGCTGGAAGTGCAGTCTCTCTGCTTAATAACGAAACACAGCTACAAGAGACAGCTCCATAGAAGCACTTTTTTCTGTAGGAAAGAAATGCTCAATCAGCTGCTCGATGCCGTTATGCTACAGCCTACCAAAACTATGATGAGAAACTCTGAAAAGAGTCTCTGGAATAGACGGGGTTGGCGCTGAACACTCAATGGCAATATCTGAACAAGGAAAGAAGGAGGAAACGGGGAGGGGGGGTTAGTACAACCTCATCACAATGAAAATGAAGACATTAGGGGGTCAGAATGGTGAAGCAAACGTTCACATGCTGCTGTAGCTGATGCTGCGGCTAAGAGGAGTGCCATTTTTAGGGACAAAAGACACACGTAGCAAGAAGTTCAAAGGTGCATTCATAAACTGTGAAAGGAACAGCCATAAATTCCACCACATTACAGGAGTGGAGCATAGGCTGTGAAGGTAACCGAAACCCTTCAAGAATTTGTCTCCAAGAGCAATGCCTCGTAGCTTGGTAGGATACTGATATGGCTGTTAAGTGACTCTGTTTAAGGAGAGCTGAGTGTTTGGGAATGTACTATTCTATAACTGACTCAACTAGAATGCCCTCTTTGATTCTCATTGACCTTCCTGGTTCATGTGTTTGTTTTAACTGTTTTGTATATGAGTTTTTAACTTGTTCTAATGTTTTTATTGTTGGAGACCCTAAGTTGGGTGGAAAAGCAGCCAGGAAACAGCTAGATGATCCTTTTTTGATGAAGGGGAGGGGCCATGTCTCTGTAGAAAGAGAAAAGGCCTAGTTCAAAATCCAGT